CATCGTAATGTACATAATTTATTTTTTTTTTCCATTTTCAAATTATAATTTTAATTAATTTTTTTTTTTGTTATGCTTTGCTTTAGATTCGAATGAATTTTTGCTACGGTTCAAAAACGCTACGAGTAATTTTATATATATATATATATAAATTCATTTCGTAATAATAATAATAATGATAAAAGGAATGTAAAATCGAATTTCTATTTATTATTTGTGTGTGTGTGTTATTTAATAAGTCAAAGGTATAAACAAACAAACAAAGGTAAAGTCAGGTGGGATAAAGGAAAGGAAGTAGGGAGGGAAAAAGGCGGGAAAAAATTCGAAATTAATTATCCGACATTGAGTGAGGCGGGGACAAGCGGGGGAGCAGAGACGGAGGAGAGGATGGGTTATAATTAAAATAGTAAAGAATAAAAGATATAAAATGGATTTTCTCTCTCTCTCTCTCTTCGAAATGAGTGAGAGAGAGAGAGATGGGTTTTGGAAAAGTTTTCTAAACCGGAGTGTTTCATGGTTAAACATAATCGGTTTACGCGTGAAAGATAATTTACGTGATTTTTTTTTTTTTTTTATATGGGGTTCGGGAGAGGAAAAATGAGTGGTCTCGGGTTTTTTTTGTTAATCTTTACATTTTCAGAAAAAAGGTTTAATTTTTTTTTAAATAATTCCTTTCAAATTATTTATTTGTTTATTTGGTTTTTTTTTTTTTACGCGCGCCATTTGAATTGGAAAAAAAAAATTTTTTTTTCGCGGTCGCCATTTATCGTTTGATTTCTTTTTTTTTTTTATGTTGAAAAGCTACCGAAAAAAATTTTTCTCCTTTTTCTTTATCGTTTTCTTTTTTATCTCAAAATTCGTTTTTTCTAGAATTTTCTAAACGGTTGTTTTCATATAATGAGTCTCCGTACGGTTTATTCACTTATTAAGTTTTCTTTTAAACATTTTCTTTTTTTTTTTTCGGTTCATGATTTTTTCATTGAATTTTTTTTTTTTCCTTTTCTCTAAACAATGGAAGAAAAAAAAGGAAATATATATATATATTGAACGAGAGGAAATGAGGGGAAAAGAGGGAGGGGAGGGGAGGGGAAAGAGGAAAATTATCAAAAAGGTTTTTTTTTCTCTCTTTTTTTCGTTTTGTTGTCCCTTATTTATTTTAAAATTTATTTCGGGTAAAACGATTTTACATTTTTTTTTTTTACAAAAGGTTTACAAAAGGTTTTTCTCTTTTCCCCCCAACCTTCTTTCCCCCTACCATCTCACCCTCAGGGCCAACATTTTCCAAAAAAACAAAAAAAATGAAAAAAAGCGTGAGAATTTTTTTTAAATGAACCACGTGTTGTAAATTTATATACAAAAAAAAAAAAAAAATCCGTTTGTTAAATCGTGCCCCTATTCTCCCCTTCTCTCTCCTTCCCCCTCTTTCTTTCCTCTTCCCTCCCCTCCTCCTCCCTCTATTTTTTCGAACGTAATCGGTATTTACCGTAGTGAAAACTTTTTCTTACGATTATTTTACTACCGGAAACAAATAACTCGTTAAATGACGAAATTAATAACTCGAACCGGATAATAATTTTTCATCATCATCATCATCATTATTATTATTATTACTACTACTACTACTATTATTATTATTATTATTATTATTGGTTGTAAGTCGTATAGAAATTTTTGATTTAATTTATATATATAATTTTGTTTACGACAGCCTACTAATTACGTTATAACGAAAAACAGAGGAGGAAATGAGAGAGAGAGAGAGATAGGGAAAGAGAGTCAGAGGGGGAAAAGAGAGAGAGACAAAGAGAGGAAAAAAGAGAGAGAGACAGAGAGAGGGGGGGTGGTTTTAACTTTGCTTTGAACTTTAGCAAATTTTATACATAGAACACGAGCGCGTGTGAAATTTTTTTTTTTTTTTAAAAATAATTCTCGAATATTAGAATCGAATATTTTAATTATTTTCATCACTTTTCTCGCGGTTTTCCATAAAAAAAAAGTTTTTTAATTAAAAATTCTTTTTTTTTCTCCAGAATTTTTTTTTTTTATGGAAAAAATCAGAAAATAATAATAATAATAATAATAATAATAATAATAATAATAATAATAATAATAATAAAAAGATTTGAAATAATAATTCATTTGGAAATAATAGAAGGAAAAAAAAAATACTTTCAAAGAGAGATAAAAGTCATAATTTTTTTTTTTTTTTTATATTTAACTGGAGAAAAAAGGAAAGTAATAATAATCTCTTTTTTACTTAATTAATTTCATTGATTATTACGTTGGATGCGTATTATCAAATAATAATAATAATAATGATAATGATAATAATAATGAAAACATTATAATTAAAAGGGGGGAGGAGGGAAAAAAAAAGAATCGTTTGTCATTATTGGATTTTTCCAGTTGAATGAATTGAATTTTTTTTTTTTTTTTATTCCAGAACCATGCGAAACGACTTTGTGTTCTTTCGGTTCGATTTGCGTTACGGAATCGGATGGTAGAACTCATTGCAAATGTCCAACATCTTGTCCGATAACATATTCTCCAGTTTGTGGAACGGATGATAAGGTTTATAACAACGAATGCCTTTTAAGACAAACATCTTGTCAGAAACAAACGATTATAAAAGTTTTACACGAAGGAAAATGCGGTGAGTATTGTTTTTTTTTGTACGGTTTCCGGTTTCCCCTTCCCCTTCAATCTACTTCCGTTTCCGGATTCGTTTCTTAAGTTTATATAAAATGATTATTATTCGATCGTTAAAAACAAAAAAAAATTTTTTTTTTTTTTAAAGAAATCACGTTCGAGTTTTGTTTTTGTTGTAAACCACGATTTGACCTCCCCCTCCCTCTTTTTTCCCGAACGTCTGTCGAATACGTGTTTCTCTTTAAAAATCAATATAACAAACAAACAAACAAACAAAAAACGGATTGAAGTCCTTTTTATTATTATTATCAATTGAAATTTAATTAAAACGGGAAAAAAAGAAAAATTTTTTTTTCCCTGTCGTTCGCACGCGTTTTTATCACACTCGTGGATTCTTAATTTCTTCGTACGCGAATCAATCAATCAATCAATCATTCATTCATTCAAATTACACGCGACACGTTTTTGTAAAAAAAAAAAAAAAAGAAAGTCGTTAATACATTAAAACAAACAAACAAAAACGTTTTGCTTTCACGGAGGGCAATTGAATGAAAAGATTTCGATGCGTCATCACGCCGACGATTTTTTTTCTCCAGTAAAACTTTTCCAGAAGTTTCCAAAAAGTGAAAAAAAAGAAAACATCCAAAGTCCGATCACGTTTTTGTTCTTTTTCCTTTTATTATTTTCTTTTTTTTCAATAAACATTTTTCAATTTTTCTTTTTTTCACCGCACCACCGCCACCGCCATCTTTCTTTTTATAAATTTAATGGCGGATCGTAAAAAAAAAAAAGGAAAAATTAATAATAAAAATTAAATATTACGTACCGATCGAATTTTTCCCCATTTTTGTCCAGAAACCCTCTCACTCTCACCCCCCCTTACTCCCCCCATCTGTCCCCGAAACCTTTTTGTCGTTGATAATGACGTCATAAAATAATTTTTTTTTTTTGTTGTACGGAATGGAAATTTGAAAATGATTAATAATAATAATAATAATAATAATTATCAAATATCGATTTTAATTATTACTTTATTAATTTTATTATTAACTTTATCATTATCAATATCATTATCATTATCATTACATTATTATTATTATTATCATTACGTAATTAAAAAGTGATTAATAATTTTATCTATCTATCGATTGAATAGTAATTAAATTAAATTAAATTAAATGTTTGTAAAAACGTTCGACATTTTTTTTTCTTTTTTTTCACGCACGAAAAAATAATAATAATGATAATGATAATGATGATATTGATAATAAATTATTAGAGATCGAATTTCTGAATGATGATGATGATAATAAGAAAGAAAAAAAAGAATCTGTAAAGAAAAATGTTTTGTGTCGTCGGTTCGTGTCGTCCGTTTTTGAAGTGTCAAGTTAATTTTTTTTTTCTTCTTCTTATTCTTCTTCCACTACGTTTCTTTACTTTTCTTCGTCCACGTTTTTTTTTTTTAACCTGAAAGTTTTTCAACCTGAAATTTATAAAAAAAAAAAAAAATACTTGTCAGCATTCGGGTGAATAAAAATTTGATAAAAAAAATTATTCTCTTGAGGATTTAAAAAAATTTTCTAGGGTTATGATTTTTTCTCTATCTCTTTATCTCTCTCTCTCACCCATATTCTCTCTATATATACCTCTCTCTCTCTCTTTTTTTCTAGAAAAAAAAAATAAAACCTTCTGGATTCTTATAAAAAAAAAAAAAAATATGTAAAAATTTAAATTTTTCCAAAAGATGTAACAAAAATAGAAAGGGGGAAAAAGGAAAAAAAAGGTGAAAGAATAATATTGGGGACACAAATTTTTGTTAAATGAACTTTGACATACGTGACGTCAGCAGGATGATGATGATGATGATGATGATGATAAATTTTCTTTTAAATGAAAATATTTTTAAAAAAAATAATAATATTATAATTAAAATTTGAAATAAAAATTAAACTTATTACCTATTCGGTTTTTTTTTTCGTTTAATTTTAATTTTTTTTTTTTTAATTACACGAGAAAATTATTATTATCATTATTATTATTATTATTATTATTATTATTATTATTATCATTATTATTATTTTAAATTAATTATTTCGTCGTCGGCGCTTACGTTAAATGTAACGAAAAAAAAAATAAAATCGACTTTAAAGATTAAAATATTAATTTTTTTTCTGTTTTTCTTTATTTCTAGAGAGTTCGTAATGGAAAATAATAATAATGATGATAATAATGATAATAATAATAAAAGGAAAAAAATAAAAGAAAAACATTAAATAAAACATTAAAGTAGAGAGAGAGAAAAAAATAAAATAAATCCCGCGCAATAAATTTAAAAAAAAAAAAATTTTTTTTTTGTCTTCAAATTTTTGTTTTTTTTTAGTCGTTTGTTTTAATTTTACAAAGATTTCATTGTTTGTTTGTTTGTTTGTTGTTTTTTTGGGAAAAACAAACATTAAATTCTTAAAACTTAATATACCATGTAAGGGAAGGCAAAAAAAAAAAAAGAAAAAAAAAAGTTTATTATATGTTTGAGGGGCTTTTTTTTGAACCGTTGTCGTCGTCGTCGTTTAAACGTCGATTTTGCCTTCATTTTGTTGTTGTTGTGGTTGTTGTTGTTGTTATTGTTGTCGTCATTGTCATTGTCGTTGTTAATTTCATCCCTGAAAAAAAAAAAAAACCAAAAAAAAAAACAAACAAACAATGAGAGAAAATAGAAATATCCATTCGAACTCTCATTTCTATTGTTGTCTACTCTCTCTCCTCTTTCTCTCTCTCTCACTCTCTCTTTAACTATCTCTCTCTCACACGCGATGATAAATTGAAATTAGAAATGGTAAAGAAATCGTCGAAACGTAAACATTCCCGCGTCATGCTTTGTTTGATATTTCTTTTCACAGACTATAAATATGCATGCCTACGTTTTATATATATATATATATATTTCACTTATTATCATTATTATTATTTTTTATTATTATTATTATTTAAAATTATAATTAACGTGTTGTCTTTCTCTCTCCCCCACCCCCCCTCTCACTCCCTCTCTCACTTTCCACAATATTTTTTGTCGTTTTTTATTTTTCTCATATCAAGTGTCAGGGATAAAAAAAAAAAAAAAAGTCATTTTTAACCTTAAAACGCGATACGACGACAATTGAGAAGACGCCATTTTCTTTTTTTTTTCAACAATATTAAGTTTCATAAAAATTAAAAAAAAAAAAAGAAGAAAAAGCAGAAGAAAAAAAAAGAAATTTACGATCTCCGAGATCCGTGTGTTTTTTTTTTTTTTTATTAATTTCAAACAATTAATTTTATAAACCTTTGTTCTCTTTTTTTTTTTTTTTTAATGTCGAATAATTTTTAATGTCCGCCATATTGTTTTTTTTTAAAAAAAACCCGCGTGACGTATGAAGAATGATAAAAAAAAATGGCGGATGAAATTTTTATTTTAATTTATTTCGACGCGATTTTTTTTTTTCGTTTTGTTTTTTTCGTTTTTGTTTGTTTTGTTTGTTTGTTTGTCGCAATAAAAAAATAATAATTCAATCGTATCCATAATAGTTGACAGGGTGGCAAATTTAACAAAAAAAAAAAAAAAAGATGAAATCACACCGTTGAGACGTCGAATATAAAAACGTTGAAAATAAAGAAAAATTATTCTCAACGCGCGTTTTTCCTTTTTCGCGTTTTCTTTTATTTAAAAAATATTCGTTCTCAAAACACAATAAAAAAAAAATTTATTATTTATAACAAGAAAGAATAAAAACCAAAGAAATGATGAATTTTTATAAAATGTAAAAGAAAATAACTTGGAAAAACCTGAACAAAAAAAAAAAAAAATTTTCTCTGTTTCTTATTTTTTTTTTTTTTTTTTTTTTTGGGAGGGAAAAAAAAGTTGAAGTAACGCAAAACTTTTTTTTTTTTTGTGTAAAACTCTTGTTGTAAATGTCATCGTTTTTATCTTTATAAACACTTGTAAACAAGTTTTTTTATTTATTTATTTATTTGTCTAAGAAACAACACAAAAAAAAACTTGCGACTATTTTTTTTTAAACTCGAAAATTTATTTTTATAATAATATTTTATAATTTAACCGTTACAACAAACTCGTATAAATAATAATTGAACCAATTATTTTTATTTATTTATTATGTCTTCTGCTTTTTATGTTTTAAACGAATCCCGCGCGAGCGCGCTCGCATCATTCGTCGGCGTTTAAATTATTTTTTGTGATTTCTGAACGCGCACACTCGAGTCAATTTCATTTACGTATTCATTTTTACATAATGATGATGAAAAAGGAAATGGGAAAATTTTTTTAATTCGTTTTCTCACTTCCGGTTTCGTACGCTTTATTTATTTACTTTTAATATAATTTTTTTTTTCTTTTTCTTCCCCTCGAAATGTTTGTCGCGCGCGTTTATTCCCCTCCCCCCACCCCTTCCGTTTTTCCGTCCTTTTCCGATACGCGTTTCGATGGGAAATTTGTCGAAAATCGGATAAAAAATTAATGAAAAAAATCCGCGACGACGACAACGCGACGCCTTGGGGGAAAAAAATAAAAAACGTCACATATTTTATTTAGCGAGAGAGATGATGATAATAATAATAATAATTTGTTTTTTTTTGTCGTATTTTAAAAAAAAAGAAAATATTTGTTGAAAACCCTTCGAATTTTTTTTTTTTTTTTTTAGAAAAAAGGATCAAGTTTTGTTTTGCGCAAAATCAAAAAAAAAAAAAAAAAAAAAAGAAAATTCACGCGTGCACTTTTCTCTCATTTTTCAGTTTCCCAAACATGTTCATCTCTATTTCCACCCTTGAATGTACCACGTTTTTCTTTTTTTTTCCTCTCTCTCTTTTTTAAAATTTTTTTCGGGAGTTTTATCGAATGAACAAAAAAAAAAAAAAGAAAAAAAAATGTGTGAAAACGCGAAAATCGTTTAATCTTTTTCATGCAAACGGTTGTTGTTGTTGTGGTTTGTTTTTATTTACATTCGTGTGTTACAGTTTACGCGCGTATTATTAAAAATCGACGTCAACGCACGCGATGTGACGTAATTTGGGTGATTATTTTAAAAATTCAAGTGCGCGCCAAAAATCCGACGATCGTAATTCCACCGCCTTCTCATAAAAAAAAAAAAATTGTTTATTTTCCAAAATGAATTTTTTTTTAATTTTG